AGAAGAGAAGAGAAGAGAAGAGAAGAGAAGAGAAGAGAAGAGAAGAGAAGAGAAGAGAAGAGAAGAGAAGAGAAGAGAAGAGAAGAGAAGAGAAGAGAAGAGAAGAGAAGAGAAGAGAAGAGAAGAGAAGAGAAGAGAAGAGAAGAGAAGAGAAGAGAAGAGAAGAGAAGAGAAGAGAAGAGAAGAGAAGAGAAGAGAAGAGAAGAGAAGAGAAGAGAAGAGAAGAGAAGAGAAGAGAAGAGAAGAGAAGAGAAGAGAAGAGAAGAGAAGAGAAGAGAAGAGAAGAGAAGAGAAGAGAAGAGAAGAGAAGAGAAGAGAAGAGAAGAGAAGAGAAGAGAAGAGAAGAGAAGAGAAGAGAAGAGAAGAGAAGAGAAGAGAAGAGAAGAGAAGAGAAGAGAAGAGAAGAGAAGAGAAGAGAAGAGAAGAGAAGAGAAGAGAAGAGAAGAGAAGAGAAGAGAAGAGAAGAGAAGAGAAGAGAAGAGAAGAGAAGAGAAGAGAAGAGAAGAGAAGAGAAGAGAAGAGAAGAGAAGAGAAGAGAAGAGAAGAGAAGAGAAGAGAAGAGAAGAGAAGAGAAATAAGTTAATGATGATGATGGCAGTTACGATAAAAACTGACGTTGGTAATTCGTTCCAGCTTGCGACTTGTTCCCTTTCCCTGTGCTCGAGGGCGCAGAGCCTCCTCCCAAGGAAGCGCACGGCCAAATCATCCTAAGTTTCCTGCCGGAGGACGAGTACTGGACGGCCGAACTGAATGTCACCGACAGCGACTCCGTGTGTGTAGTGAAGCTGCTGGACAAAATCACATCCGACGGGATAGAGGAGGAGTCCATAGTGACGAAAGGCAAGGATGGCAAGCAGAACGAGAGCTGCCACCCGCCACTTTTCCACAGGAACTCTTGGACGGACGTATTGCTTGCTGTAGAACAGGAAGCCGGTGCTGGGAATCCCTCCACTGGGAATCAGTCCAGTGAGAATCTCTCGGGCTTCCTGACTTTGGTGCTGGCACAGAGTGCGGAGCGGAAGGTCATACGCGTCACGGACTGCCCGCTCAGGTCGAATTCTTTTACCTTAAATTGGACGACATCTTACAGGATATCGTTTACCGTCGACTGCCAACACAAAGGTATGGACAGCTTGCTATACTGTGACAAATTATCTTCTATTCTACCACTTTCTACTACCAAATTCACATAGATAGTTTAACATACAATAAACAGACAAATATACGGTAGAAAAACCCACACTTCACCCCCCACACACACACACATCACTCTGCGGCCTTCCTTCCGAGGCGCCCTCTTCACCCGTCGTCCTCCGCCAGAGTGCGCCGCCGGCCACCGCATAGCGTCCTCCTCCAACGCCACCGCATTCTACTACAGAAGCAAGTTTCCTTCGGACATCGTGCGAGTGACGCTGACCATCTTCGCCGCTGGGAATGCCATGGAAGAATCCTTCGAAGAGTCCTGGCACGTGGACGAGAGCTACCAAGTTAACGAATGGCACAAGATATCCTTCAGGAGGTTTCTGCGAGGCCTGGAGGTAAAACTGCGCGTATTTGTTACCTCCTGTAGAAAGTTTAAGGCTGCGCAACACAAACGATGTTAATCACCGGCCGCTATCGAATTTAGCGCCTTACAGTAAAAACCCCGGAAATATCTTGCAGATGATTTTGCCCGGGAAACCTCCTAGGACCATTCGAAATACAAGCGCCATCTTCCCGGACTTCTGCATCACTGAGGTCATTGTGGACGGCAATGGCGTCGTGACCTGGTGTACCCCCGATGAGTCTCAACCATCGGCGCAATGTAAGTTGCAGATTGCGATGAACATGGTTCGCCGTTTGTTTCATTGCATGAGCTTGTTTTAGATCTGCATATTCGCAGATTATTGACTATATATATATATATATATATATATATATATATATATATATATATATATATATATATATACATATATATATATATATATATACTATATATATATATATATATATATATAATATATATATATATATATATATGCATATATGTATATATGCATATATACATATATATATACATATACATATACATAAATATATATATATATACACACACACACACACATAAAAGCATATATACAATCGTATATATAATTATATATTATATAATATATATATATATATATATATATATATATATATATATATATATATATATAATATATATATATATATATATATATATATATATAATATATATATATATATATATATATATATATATATATATATATATATATATATATATATATATATATATATATATATATATATATATATATTATATATATATATATATATATATATATATATATATATATATATATATATATATATATATATTATATATATATATATATAATATATATATATATATATATATATATATATATATTATATATATATATATATATATATATATATATATTATATATATATATATATATATATATATAAT